GTGCACGGCAGAAGGCCAAAAGTGAGCGGACCCCGACTGTACTCTACACAAACTTTGCGAAGGATACATAGAACCGCTGCCAGCTCGAATCCACGCCGAAGTCAGATTGATGGCTCACAGATCTCGCTGACCGCTGAAAGCTACCAACAGAAATGCAGAAAATTTTACATTTCATGCTTCACAAGGTGAATGAAGAGATATTATGCAGGTTTTGTGTTGTTCAGGTTCGTTTTTGGTCGATGTGTTCATGTTTTTAAACGCCTAGCAAGAATTTGGCGGCGGAAGTGGTGTATGGCAAGTGGCACGCTTTCGCAGCGAGCGGGTCGGATCATGAGTCGCCCGAGTCCAACCAAGCCTTCCATCCCTCCGGGGTCGGTTAATTGGTACCAGACTTGTCTGGGAGGATAAAAACACTGACTTGTACATCGGCTGGCCCCCGCAAGTCATTGTATAGGCCACATCGCATTCAAACGCCACTACGAATGTACAAATGGAAGTAGAATGCGTGCCGCATCCCAAAAAGGGATTGATCAACGGCAAATGCTTTATCCTTTTATCCTTTAATAATAAATTGCGAAAAAAATTCGTGGTCATGTCCACACGCTCGCCGATTGACAAAACTACAAAGAGTCAAGTTGAATCTTGGCATCAAGTGTAGCTTTCGCACAGAACCCTCGTGTTGGGAATTTATGACGAACAGTTAACAAGGCGTTCGTGCTCTTGTAAAGCACTGCTTTAGGCCTAATATTTGGCAAAATCCTAGTTTGTTTTCCGCAATATGCCATCGAGGCGTGCATTTCGTCTGGGATTGGAGGAAGGGTCAGAGGAGGAGAAATTCAACGGACCGTGAGCTACAATATTATTGGTAGCTTCGTGATCAAATCTTAGGAGAATACGGGGAATTCTAGGAGAGGATGTAAGCACTTTGCAACTTTCATGGCGCTTCTCCACTCTCGCTGGGCTTATTAGTCCTAGCGTCACTTGTTATCGGTCCCGTATTGAATGCCTTCAAGGTCACGAGCCCTGTCCTCTAACCCTGTTGTCTTGTCATGCACGGAAGAGTGGTGAAGAATCAAGTCAAAGGTGACTTGCACTGAAAGCCTCGGAGTTGAACAACTGGTTTTTATTGAAATTAATGGGTCATAACTGGTATAATAGTAGCTTTGAATCTCCGGAAAGCTCATTGCATCTGATTCAGGCTTCTCTCCAGTCTGTTTCTCGCTGTTACTTTCATAACTGGTTCGCTTAACGCGTCTGCTCACAAGCTGACAAACTTTTGATTGAAAAAAATAAGGATAGCTTATACGGCTAAAAATGCGAAGATGTAGGCACATCCCTTCTACACTTCCTATGTGCGGGTCTTGGAATACGGAAGCACTTGAATGTGAGCATGGAATCAAGCGATCTAGTAACACATTCCCATTGAAGGCCCAAACCGTGGGAACTAAGACTGATCTTGTTGGAAGTTTACCGCGCAGAGAGGATAGTAAGTCCCTCATCCTACGCTAGACGACTCCAACTCGCACAAAAGTGCCCAGTTGGGGCGCTATATCTTTCTTAGCCTGCCACCACTCGACCGTCGTTGCAACGTGTTTTCCACCGAGCCTCATCGGGCGTGTTATCTCGAACGCGCTGATCGTTTCGCGTGATTTTGTCTTTTTTACGCTCGCCCGGCCTGCTCGCCATCGCTTCCACATCCCGATGTTTTGGAAGAAGGCGCTTAAATCTCAGCGCCATCGCTAGGGCCAACCGTCGCATTTGTACTTTGAGAACTTTTATTTTGGAAAAGATCCCGTTACGATTTCCTTCCCTTGAGTGACATATACTAAAAATAAGAACATCTTCTGTATAGCTGAGAATGGAAATGAAATTCACGAAAACCAGAAACGCGTTGAGTGCAGACCAAAGAGCACAGTTGACGACGAAACCCTCAGAAAGTAAATCTGTCCCACCTGAAATGATTAATCTGAAGATTGATCTACCATATGCAATTGTTCATTCTTACTCAGTTGTCACTTCAAATGCCAACTCTGCAATTTAACTAGACTATCAAGCGATCACTATGAATCACAGGTCATCAAATTGATGTTGACTGGCCGTCATCTTGTGTTGTTGATCTGCACTTTCGATCGACTCCTAGTTTTCTGAAACAGGGGGGAAGCGCGTTAGTTTTTAGAGCAATGAACGAAACGGCGTGAACCAAAGGGTGGTCCAAAGTTATGAGGACCAAGACATTGTGTCGTTAAAAACGCATAGTAGTTTGATGGATCAAACAAACTACAGCGAAGTGTTTGCAACTAGTATCTCAAGGTAATTCCAGAATAGATCTGCCACCTGCCGCGTTTACACGAGCCTTCAGACGAAGGGGGTGGCGCGTGCGGTGGCACGCAACTGAGGCGTGTCAAAATGTTTCCAGGCCTTCTGCTCTGCTTTCTTCAGGGGATCAACGTTTTGTGGGGCATTCATTTACCCATGTCTCCAGGGTGTAAAATACAGAAATTCTAGAGCTGTTAGGTGGAGGGTTCCATTGTAACAATTCTTCAAGAGCAACAAACTCGAAAAATAGCTTTTTAGAGAATTTTTGCTCTATTCTTAGGTGCTCGGTCCAGTAAAACATCCCAAGTATGGTACTCGAGTGGCTCCATATCCACTATAGATGTGGAGTCTTTAGAGTGCCTGGCTGGGTTTTCACATCGATTTTTTCATTTTGGGAGTACGAAAGTTGACAAGGGGAGAGCAAGTTTCTGCATCTGATAATTGTCCTGGTAGTAGCTGTAAGTTTCGAGTCTCTGAATTTTCCGTCTGTGTAATAACTTCGCCCTTGTGTGAGTTCAATTTGAGGAATGTAATAAGGAGGTGTTGCTCTTTCACTAGTTTTGAGAACTGCATGAAGTATAGTCTCGAAAGGAAGAATACACTGTACCCTATCACATGGTGCACAGAAAAGGAAATGAAAATGGAGCGACTCGGAAAAAAGTGGATATGACCGCGCGCGCACGCGGTCCTCATAATTGACCACCTGTACATTCAAACATCACTGCCAATGTGCAATGAAGAAGATATGCTGCCGCATCAATACGGCGATGCATCAGCGCAAGATGGCTTTGCCTTGTTATCCTGATCCTTACCCGTTCTGGTATTTCTACCAAAAAATCGGGTATTATACGTTAGGCAAGCTAAGGCTTCAACCTCCAACCTATTGCAGTAGTCTGACACAAATTTCTTAACCTAACCGTCTCCCTATTGTTGAGGAGACGGTGTACGCAAGTAGGGCGCTAAGGCGCTTACGTGCTAAGCATTCGATCCTACATCATATTGACGCTAAAAGCCAAAGCAAGTTGTGATTTGCCCAGCGTTGGCTATGACATATAAACTGAACTGCTTATCTTATAAGCCACTGATTCGCAGAACTGTCGGCTTCTATAGCACTGAGTTCGCCACTTTACTGCGCCTTCAGGGTCTACTGATCAGCGTCCAAACTATGTAACTGCCATTCGTGCAGGAAACCGAGTGGCGCTGGCGCATCCAGCCGGAGTAATGAAATACTGGAGGCTACGTTTTACAACATTTTGTCGACGCTTGCAATCATACATGAGTGTTCGAATGTCTATAGGTCTGGGGTGGGTGGAATCCTAAACGATGCAAGCACGAAAGCAATCACTTTGAATTTGCCAGTCACCCGTTAAAAACTCGATTCTTCATGAGCTCAATTTCAATCTGCTCCTCCAGCAGTTGCGAGACAATTTCAGCCGAGTTTAACAATCGAAAAAACTTTATAATAAACGATTCTGCTGAATTCCACAATGCAGCGTGTTGTCTTGTAAAAATTTACAATTGGATTGGAAGTATTTAATGGAGTCGTTGAACCAGTTTTCATTGAAGCCGATGGGCTTCGTGCTGCGCGCCACTTGTCACAGAAAACTCACAAATTTTAAGACCTGTCCGCTCGTAAATTGCGCACCTCTATAAGTACCCTACGGTAGCTGGAAATCTATTCTGTTCGACATTGGAGAACAGCGCTCCAAAGAAATTTTGCTTCGACTTTCTTCATGCATAAAATCCTTCTCACGATCACGACTGATCGCGAATAGTTTTTGCTGTTGCCTGAGCCAGCACTTTCAGCGACTTGCATTAGAGCTAACGATTCGGGCCTCCTTACGCCTTTCCAGCAGCCTAAGATCTTCAAGTATCAACCCACACCCAAGAAGCAGACTTTAGCGAGGACGTTCCAGGGGAAGAGGCCGAAATTTTAGCCTACTATAGAAAGTGCTGAAATCTTGGTCAGGCTACGGTAAAACTATTCGCATCAACTTCCATGCCACAAGTTAGAAAATCGTTCTTGGACTATTCTACACAAGTGCTAGACGACCTTCTCACGACTCCCGCACTGTTCACCCTCATTTTGCTTTCGCCCCCCGCTTTTCAAACTGGCCTTGAGTAGGCTTCGCCTTATGAAATCGATGCTGGACTTCCTAGCTTGACCCGCCTTGCCCACAAATATCGTTGGTCCGCGTTCTTGATAATAAAGGGAAGAGCATTCGTTACCGGCGTGCCGGACTATTGTCTCCTTGCATACGGATCACCCCGCGGTCATCGCCCCCCGTGACAACGATCACCCCTTTACACGCTCTCCACCAATCGGCGCCGATACGATTACTTGTGTCCGCAAACCTCTCGTTTCATCTCGCTGCGCCCTATCAGAACCCAAGCGGCAACCTGTTTTCGGCGATTCTGGCGTACGCAATCTGTACGATGCCTACCTTCCCTCTCGCAAGCTAGTATGGATCAGGATCACCCTACTTCATTTGTTTGATTAATGGTTCGCGCTAAGCTTCCAACTATTATTGACCAGCAGCTTGAGCGTGAAAAGTACAGCCTGCAGTTCTCTCATAGTTGAAAACAAACACTGCCGCACAATCATCTTTCAGCCAGCAGGTAAGCTTGATCACTAGACTTTCTCTTTGCAGATGCGTTGTTTTCTGCTTCTTGCAACAGCTGGCATGGCACTTGCCGATTACCGGTCTCAGAACTCGGGATACGAAACTGCTGAAGTCATGCAGCCTGCACCACCTTCTCCAGTATCTGCTGATGGAGGCGATCAACAGGCATACAATACTGACGGCAAGCAATTTCCTTCCGTAAGACCTCCACCTCCATCGCAAATGGGTCCTCCCGCTCCTCCAACAAACTTACCCCGCACCCTCGCAACCATCCTACCCAGCTCCATCTCCACCTAGCTACCCTAAAACTCCGCAGACTTCCTACCCAAAACCTTCTTACACATCACAGCCCCAAACTACCTACCCCAGTCAGCCTGCTTACCCAGCCCCCATCGCAGCCTGCTTACCCAGCGCCATCTCAGCCTGCCTACCCAGCACCATCTCAGCCTGCTTACCCTGCACCATCTCGACCTGCCTACCCTGCACCATCTCAACCTGCTTACCCTGCACCATCTCAACCTTCTTACCCATCTCCACCTTCACCCAGCTATCCTAAAAGTCCTCAGCCAAACCCAACTGTTCCATCCACTTACACAGGACAAAGTAAACCATCCTACCCTGCCCCATCTCAACCAGCTTACCCAGGATCGGCTCAACCGACCAATGAATTTCCAATGGTATGTTATCAATTCTTTATGGCGTACTTATCGGTGTGGAGAAGTTACTTGTTAGTGCAATGAATTCATTTAGGGCGGAAACAACATCGGCTACAAAGCTCGCCTCCGCGCACGTCACTGATGCATTTCGGTGTGACACCGCTCGATATTCGTTGAACTGCTCAGATAGTATAAAGCATTCTGCTTTATTGTAATCGAACTATTTCCAGGAAATATTTCAAATCACCTGAATTCGAAATTCGTTCATAACTGACTGTTTAAAGTTGAGTGCGCCAATACCTTACCTATGACAGAAATTAAACAAGATTTGTAGGTAGCACTTGATGAAAAAGAGGGCGACAATTCGCGCTGTTATCGCACTCAGGGCTCAGATCTCCAAAGGTAAGGAGAAGGATTCAAATAAAAGGATAGAGCGTTGATCAATCCTTTTTGGTACGCCTTCCATCCATTTGCACATGTATTGGCCTCTGAATGCGATTTGGCCTATAACATGCCTTGCGGGGCCAGCCGATGTACAAGTTAGCGTTTTTGTCTTCCCAGTCAAGTCTAGATCAAGCTAACAACCCTCGACTTCGCGAAGATGGCATGCTGGTCGACCGACACCACCACCCAGAATCTAAACTCCCGTGCGCGCGTGGTAAGCGCGCCACTTGGGACGCTACAGCAAGGTCTCCGCCGGTTCAGAGTAGAGACCGCAAACCCCCTTCACAGCGGGCAATTAAATCTAAGCTAGAATATTCCCTCCTACAATTCCTCTTATCTTCACCAATCGAACCGCCTTCTGCGAGGGTCTACCGCTCCTTTCAAGCCCGCCGTGCGCTGTCCCTTATCAACGGAGAAGATTTATAGCGGCGGCCCTCTAATAAAGGGCGCGTCTTGCATGGCTCCTCCAGTCCTCTCGGTACTTTCTGTCGTCAATCGTAGCCTCCAGGCCAGGATCCGAGCTCCTCCGGTTCACTTATCGGTCATCCGCTACTTTAGGCTCATAAGAAGACGTGCTCATCCACATCAAGCCGCATGTGCTCCACGTTTTGTGAAATTGGCAGACAAGGCGATAACGAAAGACATGCGTATTGATCGAGAGATTAGGAAATTGGGGAATTGAACTGAGATTGACAAACACTACTGATATGACCGGAAATGTATAATCTCCTACTCTCCTAATCTAGACCTATCTTATTATTCTGTTTTGAAGAATGTCGTGATTTCCAATCTCGCAGCCTAAATTTAGTCTCGAAATTTCCCAAACGAGATGTATGAATATGGCCTCACTAGGATGCGTACACTCTATCTTCGGAAAACGAAAAAGGCGTCGAGTGCAGACCAAACACCACAAGTGACGACGGCCAAGAAAAAAGTAGCCTTTTTCTCCGTCGTCATATTGTGATGTGTGGTCTGCACTCGACGCTCTTCTTGTTTCCGAGAGGGGGCATATCGTTCACTGCATGCTTACAAAGTGCTTCATGCACGCCTCTCTGATTCTTGTAAATTGTGTTCATGAAAAATTAGCAGAAAACTTTATTTTTAAGAGAATATCACAGAACTTAGCGAAACGGCTTAATAAAATACTGCCGAAATTGTCTGCTTAGAGGCAATGGCAATGATCTACTGTAAGCTCTATTCGCGTTTATATATAATAGTTAATATGGAAAGTATGGTTGGGTATTTTACTAGGACCATTGTGAGTAACAAAGGTGATTATGAACGTGATGATTTCCGCCTTACAAGTCGATCCTGCCGACTTGGCGGGGCAGGACGAGGTGGACCTGACCACGATTTCTCTTCAGATTGAGGTGACGGTACTGACTTCACTTCAGATTTAATCGAAGGCCCTGACTGCACTGATTTCACTTCAGATTTCACTGAAGGCCCTGATCTCACTTCAGATTTAGTAGAAGATACAGACTTCACTTCTGATTTTGTGGAGCTCGTCTTTTGTGATCGGCTGTCGTCAGGTGTTTGTTTCGATGAACTTGATGGGCTAGACTTGATTCTACTCGCACCAAGAGCATCAGGATGTCTACCATCGTTAGAAGGTCTTTTTCTTAAGGCCACAGGAGCGCGTGGTTTTCTGTGATCGTCGGGCGTAAGCCGTGGTAGCTGATAAGGAGAGGGTGGAGGTCTTTGTACTGAATCGTGCCTACTCCTCGTCGTCCTCCTGGAAATGCTTTTCTGGCTATGCTGCGTCTTGTCAAGGCTGGAGGGCACATCCGAACTTGGAGTGTCCTGCTTGTCCTTGTCACTGGGCGTTTGAGCAGCAGCTGCTGCCGCTGCAGCATCTCGGGCACGGCGACGTATTGCACTCTCGGCTATGCGACGTTCATTTTCCCTAACACGTGCAGCTTCCCTGGCTGCTGCTTCTGCTTCTCTTCGTTTCATCTCAGAA